AAGGGCCTGGTACTGGATGCTTGCATAGAAAGATACTGTCTGAACTTGATCTCAACTGGGGTGGAAACCAGAAGCCATCAGAGTCAGATGCTTCTTATCTAATGGGAGTGATCAAGGGAAAAATCTAGCAGGAACTATTATTTCTAGCCTGAGATATAAGGTCTCTTACCTGGAATCCTTCCTCCCTATCCTCTGGATCTGGCTACTTGTTCAGAATCTATCTGAGGGTACAGAGGAGGGGAGGGGAGAAGGCAGCACCCATGACAAGTAGGAAAACAGATAAGTCTTTTGCTTGTGACCCCAAGCTTGCAAGTCTGTATCACATCCCAACTCAAATTGGTGACCTTCTGAATATGAACTCCTCTCACTGACTTTGAATACGTCAGTTCCAAGATGGTACCACAAACGTATCCCTTTCTCCCCAATGTGATTCTCACTCTTGCTTTTTGAATAAGTTCTATTACTGCAGAAAAGAGACACCAAGTCCCATGTAAGGTGAGATATACCTGCCCCTGTACTCAATTATGTCAACTTCTCTCTTATCTAGGAGGCATACCATCATCATCCTGCCTCCCAGATTCTTCCATCTCCCTGCACTGAAAACTGTTTTTAAATAGACTACTTGATTCCATGACAGGACTCATGCATGCTCCAGCATATGACAAAAACTTTCAATAAATGCATTATCATGCTCTAGAAGCTACGGGGACCTTTAAAGAATCTGTTCGTTCAGCTGATCAACACAAGGAGGTGAAAGAATGGGAGACTTGTCTGAACTCAGCAGTTAAAAACACCTAGGATAATAGAGTGGTTCAACAATTATTCATTCAACAAATACTTAAAACCCTTGAGCCAGGCACTGTGCTACCTTCTGAGAATATATTAATAGAGAATTAGACAGTCTAGGCAGAGTTTTCAGGAGACCTTAGGTGCCTCAGAAAGGCTGTTTTGAAGAAGCTGGAAGCACAGCAGCAACAGAAACAAAATACTGAAGGACTCCCCTCTTGTCCTAGGGCTGATCTAGCCGGTAGATCATTAGGCAGCCTGTGAGTGACACAGCACAGGGAATACTCCATTCACAGGTTAGCAGTTAGGGAAGAAACCAGAGAGGGTGAACTCCCCAAGGGACTTCTAAAAGTAAGTGGGAGGAAACAGGACATGTCCTCTGGAATCCTTAGACTGAGCATCTGGTCTTCACACTGGGCTTCTGTACAAGGAAGTCATTAGGAGTTCTTATTTCCAGGTCCCCCAGAGTAGATTCTCAGAGTCACCCCACTTTCCTGCTGAGTAATACTGCATGCAAAACAGTCAGAGGAAGAAGACAGGAAGACAAATCCAGCGGGTGGTGCAGCTCATGACCTGAGGCTCAGGAGTGAAGGAGTCAGAACTGTTCATTACAGTGCTTTGGCCTTTAGGGATCCCAGCACCCTGAGATCACCTTGGGCTGAAAAGCCTCTGGACTTGTATACAGAGGGGCTTCTTGCTAACATGTTAGAGTTCTGCTCAAAGGAATACAGGTATAATAAAAAGCATAAGAATTCTGGAACCAAGAGGTCTGAACTGGAATTCCAGTAGTTGTGGCACTCTATAACTTCTGTGAGCCTATCTCCTCATATGTATGACAGGAATAAAGAAGCTCTGATGGTACACTGTGGTGCAGTGGTTAAGCATTCAGCTGCTAATCCACCAGTCACTCCATGGGAGAAAGATGTGGCAGTGCGCTTCTGTAAAGATTTATCGTCTTGTAAATCTGTCTTGTAGGGTCACTGAGTTGGGACTAGATGGCAATGGCTTGTTTAAGACAGGAATATTAGTAGTATCTATTTCACAGGACTGTGAAAACATTAATATCACATGATGTACTTAGCATAGGAAGAAGTCAATAAATGGTAGCTATTAGTCACTCTGTCCCTTCATCCCACTATTCCATTATAGGACTTCAGACATGGCAAGCGGGATAAAGGTAGTCCTGGACACATGTCATTAGGGTCTCAAAGAAAAACTGACTTCTAACATTCACCCTGTCCTACAGGGCTTTCCTCCTCAGCAAGGCCTCAGGGTAGCACAGTCTAGAAAGGAAAGACCCCAAAAAAGCACAACATCCAAATCAATGCTGGCTTTGCAGGCACAACTCTCAAGGACAGACTCCACCCCAGGATCTGAGCCAGTGAAATCCATGTAGCAGAGGAACCCTAGCTCCTGGAAAATGGTCCCCATAGACCAGCCTCATGTTCAGAGCCAATGAAAGGTTGTCTCAATGCAAAAAAACAAAATCCTTAGGAGATAAAACAGAAGCCTATATTACAGCAACCATCATACTGCATTTGGTATATACTTTCTTAACTGTTTTCCTTTGGACAATCATAGATATTCGTAAAAGCAACAATTTTATTCACTGATGTATCTTCACTTCAGTGTCTAACAAAGTGCCTGGCACACAGCCAGTGCTCAATGGTTGAACACTGAATTTAGCCAAGATTTTCAGTCAAGAGCCTTGCTATCTCCAACATTGTTACTTACGCTGCAATACTTAAGAGTGGTAGAAGACAGTCAGATATGACACCACAGCTACATGGGGCAGTATATCACCAAGCTTGCACCCTGGACCCCACAGAGCAGCTAGGGTACCAGGATGTCTGCAAGAAAAACCTCCAGACTGCTTCATGTTCTGGAAGACCAAGTCAAAATGTTCTTCAACCCTAAGCTCTGCCCTGGAGGAGCAGGAGAGCTGTGGAAATACCCCCTCCCTCCTTCTGAAGAAACTGAGCTAGTCCATCTTCAGATGGGAAGGCAGTGTAGGCATTAGAATGTGGGCTGCATGTTCCTGCATTGCTGGCGAGGGTGCACGATCTGGTGCTGCAGCTGGCTAGTGGGAGGGCTACATCCCACTCCAAGAGGCAGTACTTTCATATGGGACCTTCCAAAGGGCCCAGAGCTCAGTGAAAGAGTGGTGGCCATCAGAATGGCTCGAAACAGTGAGGGCAATGAGAGATGGATGTCCTCAGCCCTCAGAAGGGAAGACATATCCACACTAACATTGCCCACAGCATGATCAAGTCACTGAGGCAACCCTCTAGTCTCTATGAATTCTGGGGCCACATACTGCAGCCCCTCCCTTATTCACAAAATCAAGTAATACTCATCACTAAAGTGCTTGATATGGACAGTGGAAAAGTAAATCCATCCTTGCTTCAGAGACAAACAATTACAGGCACAAGCAGTAAAGGTAGGGAAATTATGGCTGGACCCAACCTATTTTTCACAGCTGAACTGTACAGCTGAGCCCACCTGCACTTCTATGGGGCCAGTTCTGTGACATCAGAAAGACCCTTGAAGCTAAGACAAACCAGAGACCAAGAAAGGCCATGCCCCAACCTGATACCAATGAAAAAGAGTATCTAGATCAAACCTGTTCACCCACAGATAGGTGCCCATCTCCTAAATGGGTCCTTCTGTCATTTCCTCAGATATAGTGGGAGCGACAACAGGACAAAGTCGGCTTCACAGGCCACCTAGGTTGGCTTCAACGTACCACGCAAAAGAAACTACCAGGGCCTCCAAGCTAAGATCTCCAGGCATAGGATACCAAACAGTGACACCACACTTCCTTACACAGGGGAACAATATGTCTGAAAAAGCCTGTGTCAGCTGAAGGCCAATACTTCAAAAAAAAAAAACTACTTCAACCCAGAAGTATTTACTTAAAATTAAAGCAAACTCTTCCCTACCTACATCCCAAATTAAAAAAAGAAAAGAAAAAAAATCAATCTCCCCTTCACCAATCAGAAGGGATTTTACATAAACAAGTGGGCATTAAAATGCCAAACAGACAAAACAGTCCCAGGCTCTGCAAAGCATTCTAAAAAAAGACCTACGCCAAACAGGGTGGAGGCCAGAGAAATGAACTAGACAGTACCTTGCTGCCATGTTGGGTGAGGTGGATGTGGGAGGGGGGCAAGGAAAAGATGGTAGACTCAATGTATCCCACTGCCAGCACCAGTAGCAAATGGTTTCCCCTCACCCTACTGGCGCACTATCTCTCTATCTTTCCCATAGTCTCTGCTTCTGACACTCTTTTTATTAAGATATTATTTATAAAGTAAAATATAAAGATTTTAAGTATACCTAAAATATTTCTCAAGTTCACATTTCTTCCCAAATACTCCAAGACTTGGATCTGCCCAACCCTCCTGCTTATACTACAAGAGGGAAATAAATGGGCAATGGTGGGGGAGGTCTTTGCACAAAAACAGTTCAGGGGGTTGCCAAAAAGCCCTTCAATCTGTCCCATCAAATCCTACCAAGAAGACAGGGAATTCTAAAGGGGTGTTGCTCTTCCTTCATTCACCTGGTTAACCTTAATACAAAGGAGGGGGAAAAAAAAAAAAAAGGCCTCTGTAGCTGGGAGTCACCCCATCCCTCTTACCCTGCCTACCTCCTCCTTTTCCAGGATCAATCCTCTTATGTTGTCAATTTCAATATCCCAACATTACCCAGCCTCACCCAGGGTTAAAATTCTTTCCTTGCCATGATTCAGGAACTACCTATCCTTCACATATAGCTCCCTAGTTTTAAAAGCCACTAAGAAATGGAATCTGGACATCCAGTGATCAGCCCCTTAAGTCCCCTCCCCCACCTAAAAGTGTTTTGCTTCATCATCTCTAAGACAGGCCTGGGTACCAGGGTGTTAGCTAGATCTTTTCTGTATAAGGTTGTAACCTTGGGGACCCTTCTCAGGACTACCCCAGGTACAGACTAACAACTCCAGAGAATTTATCAGGTTAAGTGGAAAAGCCATGCCTGCCTTTATGAGCAACCATCTGTCCTGCCACACTTACAGCTAGCATTTACATCTTCTGCAAACCAGCTCCATGTTGTGTGTGTGTGGGGGGAGTGGGGAAGTGAGGCAAAGGGGAAGAGAACAACTGTTGCTGTGGATATCTTTGCTCACCACCCCATAACACCCCCTCCCCCCAGCCAACTCATTCTCCGGCACTCACCTGAGTGTGTGCTGCTCTGGGCTGAGGAATCCGAGTCCTGGGTGCTCCAGGGTCGGTCCCAGCCTGTCAGACTGAGGGACTGCAGGCCAAGGCACAAGTCATTTGCATCTGGGAGGCCACGGGAAGATTCTTGCGCAGAGGTGGGGAAAAGCATCCTGTTCGTAACTGTTTCTTCAGAGTCTTGGAAGTCTGCTTTGGACAAGAGGACAGCAGAACCCCAGAGTTAAAGGCTGTTTTCCTCAATATTACCAACAATAAATATTATTAATAGTTTCCCTAGGCTCAGGGACCAGACATCCAAGCTGACTGGGTGCTGCAACCACTGCCTCTGTACTTTTGGGGGCGTTAGAGCAAGAGCAGTTGCCATACAGCCCCCTCCCCATACACACACCCCTATCCCGTCTGCATTACAGACTGGGCCAGCATGTGATCAAGCTGCTGATGCTTCCCGATGCCAGTGACATCAGCTGGCTGAGCCGTGCAACAGAGAGCGGCATCATCCCTCACTGAACGGGGGAGGAGCAGGAGGGGACGACAGGGAGGAGACTTGCCTCCCAGGGAAAAGATAGCACAACAGCCACTTGGAATAGTCTGAGTGCAGTACCGGCAAGTCAGGGTGGTGAGGCTGCGCCCTCCGTTCTCAGCAATGGTGACCAAGCGGCCCTCAGACACAACTGAAGTCCTCTCTGCTGACACCACAGCCAAAGCAGCCGACTGCCTGCTTGTGTAGCTCTATCCTCCTGCTCCTCCCTTCCCCTCCCTGTACTCTCCACCCCCAAACCCAAAAACACTCTAGTCCTGGACTCACTCCAAAGGCTGGCTCAAGCCCTGGTTTTACAGCCCAATGCAAAGCTTCACAACCCGCTAGCAAAAATTTAGTGCTCCAAGTGGCCCCTGAGCAGCACCCTGACACAGCAATGTTTATTACTGAGGGATAGGATAACCTTCAGAAAAACATGTCCACTGGTCCCTAGAGAACACCACCTGGTACTTCAAGCTTGTCTGGAACAGCTTATCACAGAGAAAAGGGGTCAGCTTTGGCAAAGAGAAGAGGAGTCACCAGGATGTTCTAGAAGCTCTGTGCCACCTCATAGGACATGGCCCACAACTCACATCAGACTAAGACCTTCCCTGACTAGGACAGTCCATGGTCCTAGGCTCCCTTACCCCATCAGGATGGGCATTAGTCATGAGCAGGTCCAACTTCTCCCTTCACTCCTGCAACTTCAGGCACAGACCAAGGAAACACTACCAAAGTAGTGTCTGACAGATGAAAACAAGAGAAACTCTCACTGTGCCCTATCAGAAACACCATGCTGAGTTGCTGACATCTCCTGGCTCTATCAATACAGTTTCTCTTGACCTTCAAGAACTCCTGTATCTATATCTGCCAAGTGAGTAGGCCACTTACACCTTTACACTTACATTTATACCTTTAATTGTATGGGTCCCCTCTCAGGGATGCTCCTAGAACCAATACTCTATTTCTGTGACCACTCACAGTTCCAGCACCAAAGCCCAGTTCTGCCCAGAGTTCTGGACTCTCCGCCACTTCCTCTTCACCAATGAACCCTCCTGTAAGACCTTCAGTCACCAGGCTTCCTCCTCAGAAAGAGAGGCAGGGCCTCAGCAATCAGGCTCCTTATACTGGACCAAGCTGGTAGCATTCCATTCTGCTTGTTCTGCCTTTGCTACAAGAAGTAACTTGGTCAGGAAGCAACCACCCCCCCCCCCGACCTGGGACCTCCCACAGTAAGGCCTGAAGGGCAGAAGAGATGGGGATAATGAAGTTAGCTACAGGAATAGCTGGCCAGAGGCTCCTGCAATATACCCTACGTCCACAGGCACTTAGGCATAGCCCAGAGTGGGAATCGGTCAGTCTGTGTTAGGGACTCCCCACTTTGGAGGCTTTTTTAGGAGCTCTGCTGCTGTGTCATCCATCCATGCTATTCCTATCTGGCTGTAGATACTCTACTTGTTCCGTCTATCAAAGACTTGTTCACTTCTGTACTGGCTGTGCCCTCTGCAAAGGTTAAGCACCTTTGCAGTGCTTAACCTTAACACCACTCCCTCTTGCTTCTCTATTTATATTCTTCCCCCAGGGCAAGCATACAGTTAAAAATTAATCTTTATGTATTAATTATAAAAACATAATGATTCCTTTGAAAAGTCCCATACTCAAGTACCAATCCTCCCCTCAACCAGGTATCTACCTTTTATCCTAATTTGAGGACATCTATGACTAAAAGTAGCTTTTTCTCCTCTTGTTCTCTAAAACCAGGGCATCAATATACATGGCAACAGCCCTGGTGGTATAATGATTAAGTGCGGGGCTGCTACCTAACAGGTTTGTGGTTCGAACCCACCAGCCGCTGTATGAGAGAAAGATGTGGCAGTCTGCTTCCGTAAAGATTTACAGCTCGGACACCTGATTGGGCAGTTGTTCTACTCTGTTTTACAAGGTTACTATGAGCCAGAATCAACTGGACAGCAAGGGCTTTAGTTTAGTATGTAGATGGCTAACCCAGGCAGCAAGAATTTAATCACCAACTATACTCTTGCTACTCCAAGTGTAGTTTGGCAGACAATATCAACAATACGAAGAGCTCGTAATAAATGCAGAGGCCAAGGCCCCACCTGAGAACTATGAAATAAATCTGCATTTAACAAGAGTCCCAGTTAGTATGTACTCACATGGAAGTTTGAGCAGTACTGATCTATATAACCACAATATTCCCCACTCCTAAACTGAAGGGCCCCAGGACTGATCATCAGGTTTATTAAGCCCCCAAAGAATAAAAGGCCACAAACATCCAGGAGCTTGGGAATCTAAATAAAACTCTATCCTCACCCCTAGCACTCCCACCACTCCTCATCAGGCATGTATTCCCCATGCATTGTCTCTTCCAGGTAAAGGGTTTCACCAGTACTGGAGCATTACTGTTGTTGTTGTTGTTGTTGTTGTTATGTGCCGTCGAGTCAGCCCTGACTCATAGCAACCCCTCCTTGGGTTTCCAAGGCAGTATCACTACGGAAGTAGGACTGCCCAACCTTCCTTCCGAGGAGTGGCTGGTGGGTTTGAACCGCCAGCCTTCTGGTTAGCAGTCAAGTGCCTTAGCCACTATGCTACCAGAGCTCCTGGAGCATTACTGTACTAGGTCCAAAAAGATAAATGAAGGCCAAATCCACTAAACCTTTAGTGACATATACTTGGAATAATCAAGTAAAAGTCTGTTAGTTTGTTTGGGCTTTGCTTCCCAGTTCTACCACTGTGTGATCTCAGTCAAATGAAGTCTTTCTGAGGCTCTTTTCATTTGTGAAGTGTTAATAGCTACTTTTCAGGTGTTTTGTGAGGATTAAATGCAACATTTGGTTTAGTGTCTGGTACAAGGTATTTGCTGGTAGGATGACCATGTAATTCATCATCCAAATTAGGATACTTTTGAGAAAAGGAGCAAATACTTATGATGATACTGGACAACAATCTTCAACAGGAACTATCTTTGGCAAACTGTGCACATATTAAGTACACATGGTAAGTGGCAGTCATCCATGTTTAGAACCACTTTACTCAAAAAGTCATCTTTCTAATGTCTTCCTGATCCCTTCTCTCCAAAACTTAGCCACCTTGCCCTACCCTTCCACTCTGAACTGAAAGGAAGTATGAAATGTGAACTATCAACACAAACTAACGTGTAATGAGTCAAAAGGTCTGAAAAGCAAAGGCTGATTTTAATAAGCAAAAGCTTCTCAAACTCAGATCTGAAGCTGGACAGGCACGTGTTCCTTTTAATTGAAGGATAGTTTTTATAATCCTTTGCCAAACATCAACTAGGCACTCAGAAGATACCGTAATCTGGTGACCAGCTCAAGATGGAAATGATAATTCTCACTCTAAAACAATCTATTTGAGCAGTGTCTCAGTTTAAATGCTTTCTCATACAGGTTTCTTTTATAAATACCTATACAAAGTTTCCTTCCCTTGGTGATGAAATTAAGCTTGTCGGCTAGCCTAAACGCACCCATAGGCAACTCAGAAGACAGGCCTGATTATCTGCTTCTTAAAGGTCACATATCCTTGAAAACCCTGTAGAGCAGTTCTACTCTGCACAAGTGGGATCATCATGAACCAGAATTACCATGACAGCAACCAATGACAACATACCAAGTTTCCAATGTAAGTTTCTTAATTTGATTCGAAATTTTTAATTTTCTTTCCCCTTTGAGAGCATCAGCTATCTTCTCTACAGCTAATCTCCCAAATTTCTCTCTCAGTAACTGAATGACTCAGGGAAATGAGTAAACTACTAAACCCAAAGTTCAGTTTGCCATAGTCTAGAATAGAGAAGCCCTGGCAGACACAAAAGGCAGACAGGAGAGTCAGGGACTCTGGGTTCCAGGACTTAAGAACTCATGAGTGTTATAGCCTCAACTCTGATCTTTTTCATCTTCAGTGTTATAAGAACCTGGTCTGTGCTCTGTTGACTCCTCTGCCACCAATACTTACTGCAAAACTGCTCAGGGTCCTCTGTAACTACCACTCTTAAGTACCTAGAAACAGAGGAAGTAACACAACAAGAGAGTGTCTTTAGCCCCCCCCCCCCCACATAGGAATCCTTGAAGGCAGAGAGTTTTAAAGGTAGACAAAGGAAAAATAAGAAAAACCTCACTGCCGTCAAGTCAGATCTGACTCACACCGACCCTCCCTTTGGTTTCCAAAGTAGATCGATCGCCCAATCTTCCTTCCAAGGAGTGGCTGGTGGGTTTGAATCACCAACCTTCCAGTTAGCAGTCAAATGTCTTAGGCACTAAACTACCAGACCTCCTATAAAGGTAGACAGTGACTGCAAAAGTCAGTTTCAGACCCCTGGGAGACCCGAGTTGGCTTCACCAAAAAGGGGCATGAAAGAGCACAAATATCACAAGTTAGTCCTTGAAAAAAAAGTTTGCTAGTTTTAAGGATGTGATAAAAGTGAAGGTAAATAAGGTATGCTATGGCTAGCCAAGCCAGGAAGAATTTGAGGACAGATTATCAAACTGATGCTTAGGCAGGGAGTAAAGAATCTCTGTAAACTCTTTAACAGGAAATAACTTGGTCCAAGAGTCCAAGATGAACCTGAGATCAGAGTCATTGAGGGCAGAGGAAGGGAAGCCAGGGGTGTGAAGAGAGAGAGGAGTTGGATATGTTA